GGGGCATTGCAGAGGAGAAATAGTCCATGGCAAGCAGGCAGGTGAAAGCAATTTAGCCCTGTTTCTGTCCTTTATATTTTATGCAGGCTACCTGCCTTTGGGCAGGTATAATACTCACACCCTTATTCCTAGCCAGAACTATGCCAAACAATCAGTGGACTGATTTAGTAATCACACACCCTTGATTCCAACACCACATACTCTAGATATAGCCACCTCTGAAAAGCTCCCCATCCCATGATCATATGAGGCTTTGGGGGAACATCTAGACACAAGCCATAACATTAACCATTTGGTAATTGTCTTCACTTGGTTCCAATTGTCTACTCTTAGTGTTATTTTTCCCATTTTAAGGTTCCCCTTGATTTTCTATCCTTGCTTTTCTTTTGGTCATTCTTCAAATGCTGATGTGCTATTTCTCTGCTTTTTATTCTCTTTGTTTCAAGGGTATTCCATCTCATGTCACAGTGTACAGTAACATCAATAGGCCTTTGATAATGAACAATTTTGGTAATAATCTTTCCCTCACTTCAGCCATTTTTGCTTGACTCAGAAATTTTGCTTTCAATGCCAGACATTTCCAATTTCATATGCAAAATAAAAGCTTGTTTTTTTTTTTTAACCCAAGACCAATTTTTCAAGGCTCATCATTCCATGAGTTGTATCATCCTTGACACCATTTCTCAAGGTCAAACCCATGAATTACCCATATGTACTACATTTCAATTGCAATCTATATCTAGTCCCTATGTAAATACTGTCCATGTTTACACACCATATGTGAAATTTGTCTTTTTATCTTCAAACTCCAAACTAACACCTTATGAAAGCTACCATCACATCTGGCCTGGACTAATAATGGTTAAGACTTATATTACAATTTATTATATTTGAAGGATCACATTAATTATTTATATACATAGCTCTAACATTTTGTTTATTAAGAATATCTATTCATTTATATATAAATCTAGTCATATAGTTAATTTCATTATATGCCTATTGTACCATTTATTCATTACAATAGCCTTCTGTTGTCAGTATTCGCAATCTCAAGTCATCAGAGGAGAAAAATGAAGTACATTGAAGATTAAATGACTAATCCAAGTTCACACAGCTGGTATGTATGAAATCAATATTCTAGGCATTACAATATAGTGTAGTTTACACATAGTTGAGAATCCTAATCTTCCTCAATAATCTGCACACTAGGGTGTCTCTTTCCTTTTTTAATTGAATAATAATTGGCCCAAATAAATTATACTCATTTCTTTTTCTTTCCCTTTTTATTTCTTCATTTCCTCCTTTCTCTTCTTCCTCTTCCTCTTTTTCTCCTTCTTTGTTTTCTTTTTGTTTGTGGTACAAGGGACTGAATCCAAGTGCATTGTCACATGGAGCTGTCTCCCTAGCTCCTTCTATTTTTTTACTTTGAGACAGGGTCTCACTAAGTTGCTTGGATGGAACTCAAACTTGTGATCCTCCTACCTGATCCTCTCAAAATGCTAGGATAACAGGTATGTGCCACTGTACCAAGCAAATTGTACTTGCTTAAAGTATGCCAATGGTTTTTTGGAGACAGGGTCTCAACCAGGTACTTCAGGGTGGACTTAAACTCACTATGTAGCCCAGGCTGATCTTGAACTTGCAGGAATCTTCCGGCCTCAGCCTCCCAAGTGCTGGGTTATAGGTGTGTACCACCATTCCCAGCATTTTACCAGATTTAATAAATCATTGTAACTTTACTACAACTATTGTTTTGATGATTTATTATCCACCATTCACCTACATTCAATTTCTTTATACTTAATAATTTTCACCTGTAAATTTTCATGTTTAACTGGGTTAATTAATGTAATTATTAATTAATTACATCATGAATTTAATTATGCTATTGAAATTAAGTCTTCTGTTTTATTATTTGTTTTTGTTTCTCACACATTTTATTATTATTACTGTTTTTCTCTTTTCTTATCTCCTACTTTGCTTTAGGATTTTTAATGTTATTTAGAATTCAATTTTAATTTATTCACTTTTGAGCTACATATGTTTGCTTTAATCTTAAAGTATTATCTAATGACTACAATATATGGCTTATTTTTCATAGTCTACTTATACTTAATAGTGTATGACCTTATTAAACCTTCCAATGATACCATTTTACTCATCCATATTATTTCATATCATATTTATTACATGTAGTACATCTTCAAATATCATACATCCTAAAACTAGTCTTTTATATTTACCTATATATTTTAAAATTATTCTCTTCAATCTTTTGTGAAGATTCAAGTTTCCATCTAATATAATATCTCAGAGCCTGGAGAACTTCCTTTAGCACTTTTACAGTGCAGATAAGGAGGAAATCAATACTGTTAGAGTTTTTTCATCAGAAAATAATGTTATTTTACACTTATTTTTGACAGATTTTTATAGTTACAGAATTCCTGGTTAAGGTAAACTTTTATTTTATCACATTAGAGATATTTTTTCATTGTCTCTTCTGGCTTCCAAGGTTCTTGATGAGACATTCACTGCCTTCAAATCGGTGGCCCCACATGGTAGTGTGTCATTTTCCTCTGGCTGCTTTCAAGACTTTCTTTCTCTTTGATCTTTATCCAGTTTTCATGATGTGCCTATAAGTCATGTTTTTTTCTTGAAAATACCTTGCTTGGAGTTAACTGAACTTAATGAATCTGTAAATTCATGCTGCTCACCAAATTGGGGAATTTTTGGATCATTTTTTTTTCAAACAAGTTTTCTCTGCTTCAGTTTAAAAAACTTTACATTGAAGACAGTAATTATCTATGTGTCAGAAACTTTCAAATTGTCCTTAAGTCTTTGAAGCTCTGTTTTTCTCCTTCTTTTAAGAAAATATTTTTCGCTCTTTGTCTGTTGGATGTGTTTCATTCATTTTCAAGTTCACTGTTTACTCTGTGTATCATCTCCACTAGAATTCAAGCTTGTTCAGAATAATGACTGTGTGTCCTGTACCTTTGTATCCCCAATCTTAGAGCAGACACCCCAGACATGTAATGTGCAAATTACTGATTCTTATGGCTGGTTAGAATACTAACATGTGCCCATATTTTCATCTAAAAGATGCTCTTTTAGGTGAAGGTGGCAGAATATAATGTCTTTTTAAGAATTTTGCTTTTATTTATAAGAAAAAAAAAAACAGGTACACTGGCTGTGGCTCTTACCAAGTAGGAGTGTTTTTACCAAGGTTTCTCTGAACACTTATAGATATTCAGCCTTTCACAATTGTACTCATAAAATAAATGTCATGGATTTATATTTTCTGACTTGGCAATTCTTCATTAAGTTGGGTTTACCTTTATTCCTAAAATCATTACCATGATCATTATAATACAAAAATGCCAGTAATATTTTAGAAGTCCAGCAGTTTCTCATACATTTGGAGAAGGTAGTGTTGTGTTGAGTGTTTTATGATATCATATCTCAAATAATAAATCTATCCATTTATGGAAAAACCAAATACCCATGAGCTAGTAAGTGACTGGACAAAAACCTGAACTTGCACTCTAGCAGTAAAGCTAAATTAATAGACATCCTATCCCTCATAGTGAGTTATTGAAGCTCAAATTTTAAGTTATTTGGTCAGGTTTAAATACAATATGCATGACTGCTAGTTATTTGTGAAATAGAATTAGCTAATGTATTACTATCTAATCTATTTTTAAGAGAAGCAGAGATTAAAATTATATATAAAGGGGAAGGAAGTGGGAGGGCTAGGGGAAAGGATAGAAGGGAATGGGATTAATATGAGAAAATGGAAAAATAGGAACAAAATTTTTGTAAATAGGGAGGGCTGGAGGGGTTGAAGGGAGGGCTGGGCAAGGGTGAAAAACAAGAACCAAGAGAGACTATGTAAAGGTGCAAATTTCCAATGATGAATGTCATTATATTGTATACCTAAAATGTACCAATTATTAGAATGAATAATCAATAATGTAAAATAGGAATAAAAGGTCCAAAGGGGTAGGGGTAGTGGGAGGCACAGGGGAAAGGAAAGAAGGGAAAGGGAAAAATGATGAGAAATGGAAAAAATGGAAATAAAGTCTTTGTAAATAGGGAATGGTGGAGGGCGCGAAGGGAGGGCTAGGAATGGGGAAAAAATAAGAACCAAGATGCATTATATAAAGGTACAATTCCCAATGAGAAATGTAATTGTGTTTTATACCTACAATGTACCAATAAAAGAATTTAATACAAAAAACCCCCACAACTATATATAACATAAAATAAATTTCACAACTTCCTTGATGAATGTGAATCCACAGCAGTGAAGGATATGAATCTTTCTTGAGTTCATTCAGGCATCTACCTGTTGGGGATACTATTCTATGGTTCTGCGTTGTGATGATGAATCCTTTGTTCTACTGTAAAACACATAACTATGTTTGATGCCATCACAAAGATAACTTTAGGCATCATACTTATCATTATTTGGAGGGTATATTTTATATTCTTATAGTTATAGAAACTGCTATTTAATGTCCATAATGTATGCCATGTCCCTATCTATAAGCATATTTGATAATGAGCTCCTTTCTAAGGAGCTGACTAAATAGTAAATGCCATGTACATGAACAGTTTTATTAACACTGCTAAAGCTACTCTCAAAAGTTTAATCTCCCAAATATTGCCCAGAGTTTAAATCAAAGTAACAAATATGCAATTAACCTGAACAGAGGAAAAATGCCTACTCAGCACCTTAGAGAATGATCAGGTTATGAGTCATCTCATTTCTCAAAGTAGCAATAAAAATGAGCCTTTCATTCTGCAAAGGTACCACTGGCATTTACAGAAGATGATTAAAGTAAAGAAGAAAAATAACTTTTGCATTATATCAGGATGAAGGTATTTTATCCCAGCCATGAATTTTTGCCTTTGCACATTTCATCTATCAAAGAAATGTCTCCAAAAGTTGCCAAGGGTGCAGTTATTCTCCAGGGACTTCCAGGACTGTGACTTACCTTATGAAAGTTTCTGAAATAAGCTGCCTTTTCATCTGGAAATTTTTCTAACCGTCTTGGTCCCTTGCTAGAAGCCTTCTTGAAAACCAACCAGCATCGTCTGAAAATCTGAAAGTAAATAAAGGAATCCTGTTATCCTTCTTTTTACATCCACTTACTGCTTACAGGAACTTTATATATTCAGTTAGCACGCTGTTGATACATTTTTAAGGCCACTTATTTTACAGAGTAACTTTGTCTTTCAATAGTATGTTACTAATTAACATGATAGCAAGTTAAAAATTGTATTTCATACAAAGTGAATTTTTTGTGAATTGATTGTGTGATGAGGTTTTCAATGTGTTGATTTCAATAGGCTAATATAAGTAAACCACCTGTGTGTCAGCACTACGTATGGTATTTTTTCTCATCTTCTTCATGACAGACAATTCTCTCTTTTCCATGCCAGTGCAATGGCAGTTTAATAAGGTTAAGTGAAGCCCTTATACACTGTTCAGTTTTCTAATGTTGAAGAAAATCACATTTAAAAATTAAATTGTATTGTAGGATTTTAGTGTATTTAATGGATGCTTGTGTGTTAATTTAGAAAACAGTAAGGGATATGTTTTAGCAATGGGCACATCTGTCTCTTTCTATTTTTATAGTATCCAGTATTTATTAAATACTTATTATGTGTAGTGAATGTCAGTTTCTGGATTGAACAGGTATTATTTTCTTCATTTTAATATCAAATTAGAAAAAAATGTCAGAATTTGAATATACATCTCTCAAACTTTGTTAGAAACATGACTTCTAATTATGAAATAGAAGTCATTATTTCTGGACCTTTACTTTATGAAAGTTGTAGTAGTATTCTGCTCAGTAGAGGACAGATAATGTAATCCTTTTGAATTTTTCCTATATGCATTATTTCTTGATGGCTGAAAAACAGTATTTCCAATGTTAAAAGGTACTCAGAGCAATCACATAGACTTCTCATTAGAAAATCAGAGTAAGGGGCCGGGGATTTAGCTCAGTGGTTCTGCCACCTGTTTTGCAAGTGCAAGGTCTCGAGTTCGATCCCTGGTACCAAAAAAAGAAAGAAAAAAAAAAGAAAGAAAAATCAGAGTAAGTAGAATAATGATGCAAACACACACTTACACTACTCTCCTATTTTTCTTAGCTCCTCTCCAGCCAGCCTTGTAAAGCACATCAAGAACAACCCTGAATTCCCCACATGAATGAACACGACTGTCCTTTCTGCCTGCGATCAGATATATTTTCCCTCTCAAATGACTTCTAATCATGCATCTGGATATCAGGAGCTGTTTATTCCCTTGAGCTCCCAGACTTCTTTCAGACACTGGTGTTTATTAGCACACTGTGTTTGGTTCTTTATTTGTTTATTCCTTGCTGATCTCTGCCTCCAAAGCGAGACATAATTTAAAATTGTTGAAAATATGATGTAAATATATGGTATATTTCACTTTAACTCATTTCTGCATGGATTTCCTTGGGGTTGTAGAATTCTAATTTTTAAATTAAAAAATATATTTTAAGTGGAAACAGATTTAAAATGAGCTAATCATGAGCTGGAAAGTGTAAGTGTTCCCATATAGGCACTCAATGTTGTAGGATAAACCTGATAACAAATAATGAGGAGGAGAGATTTAATATTTTTGATAGTAGCTTACTTTTTGCTATTACTTCACAGAAGCAACCAGCTATAGATAAGACTGATTTTTAAAGACTCAAAGTAATAAACTATCCAGCGAGGCCCTTATGTTATTTATTTATTTTTTGCAATAGTTTTAGGCTTAGGAATATTTCCAAAAATGATGCAGTAAGTTCAAATATAATTTACCAAATTTCCCTAATATTACCAGCTTGCATAATCATGGTACCTTTTGCATACTAAGGTATTAACATTGATAAAACACCTAAATCACTGATAAAAACAGTAACCAAATTCTAAATTTTTTTCATATTTTTAAACATTTTTTCCTGCCTTCTTCTATGTCAGGATCCAATCCAAGATTAGAAGTAGCATTTACATGCCCTAACTCCTTAATCTCTTCTAATCTGAGATAGTTTTTTAGTCTCTGTTTTTCATGACCTAGAAAGTCTTGCATGGTGAAGATAATTATTTTGTAAAATATTCATTTTCTTTCTGTTTCATTTAAGATATTTTTGATAATAGTCTAATAAAAGTCTAATAAAAATCACAGTAAAATGAATCAGACGTAATATGTAAATTTGTCATGTCTATGAACTATTTATATTTTGATCTGATCTCTAGTTAAATTTTTAAACAAAGTAACCAAGTAATTATTTAATAAATGCAGACTTTCCCCTTTGACACCATTTTAAAAAATATCTTGCTTTTAAATAAGAGGTAAATAATGAAAAAGGGCCTCAGTGTGGTGAATTTTCAAGTGTCATTCTGCGTAAATGTGAAATGAAATTAAGTATGAGTCAGGGCACTAAATGCCACCTCCTCCAGGAGTATAAAATGAGTGGAAGCAAGAGATCACCGTTTTGTCCTTTTCATCAAACCAGGTTTTATGAGTGTACTATGATCTGCTTAAGACACTAGGACTGACATCTTAGGTAAGTATGTTGGCAAAATTCCAGAGCATCAAGACTGATTTCCTGAGACCAGGAAATCACTCTGAGGTAAGAAAAAATAGTAACAAAAGAATAAGTTTTATTTTAATTATAAATGAAAGAGAAAATATTTGAGTGCATAAAAGAGAACCTTATAAATGAAATTAGGTTCCTTATTTTTATTTACATCCCTTTAGAATGGGACATAAGTTAATAACCTTCATCAGCAGTACAGTAAGAAATCGGCTGTTCTCTTCAGACAGTTCTTGCCTCCTTGGGGTCATCTGAAGTTGCAGAGGCCATTTGGCGAATTAGGAAGAGAAATCAGTGCTGGCAAAAAGATCCTCCTTCCCCTGGTCTGTTGATTGGCAGATGACATTGATGCCTGCTCTCTCATGGTTTCCGGGTGCTACCCCACGCTAGCCTGGATGGACTAACTGATTTCACCTTCTCATTCACAGCCCTCTTCTAAACATGCTGGTTGTCTCACAAACTGGCTCCTGGTGAAAATTCCATGCTGCTGACAGATCTCCACAAATCCCCAGAATCCCCAACTGGTCCACACCCTCATTTTCCACTGCATTAAGCCACCAGCGAGCTTGCCATAGTTAAATACCTTCTTAATCCCTTTCCATCTGATGAAAACCCTTTTACCACATGGCAATCTCTTGCTTTAAGTGCTTTCTCCTTTTCAAGGTGATTTTACACAAAGGACATTCTTTTTACGTTTAAGACTTACTGTGAAGTAAATGGCAGATTTCTTGGCTTTAGTCCATACCTGTAATTATGTTATTTAGCTAGAAGTCATTCACAAGCTTTAACTTACCCAAAAGTGGGATTTGATGGTCCTGTTTTATCACAAGCTATTGACCTAATGGACCTTGTACTTCAAATAGGATTTTGGTTAGAAACTTGGAAAAACTTCTGAGTATGGGAATTGTCAAACCTGAGAGTCCACTGCACTAAAGAGAGTTTCGAGATTTTAAAACATGGAAGAAAAGAGCACATTGAAGTGGCTTGTATTTGTATTTCTTTCTGAAAGGCACATACTATATAAATTATATCTTGGGGTATAGAATTCAATTATTAATTCATAATTGTATATCAGATAAACATAAGACAACAAATAAACAAATAAGTACACAACTATTACACCCAAGAATAATTTATACATGTATATACTATGAGTAATTTCAGTGACTTAGTCCTCAGTCTTTTTCCTCTGACAAAATGTGTATGGTGCTATTAAAAGACATTTCTTCTTTGAAAAAAAAATAACCATTACACAGGATTAAGTTTAATACACTGATGTGTGTAGATTTAGCTATCTTTTCACTGTAGAGATGAGATTTAGTATCTTGCAATACAGCTTTATGCTTAATTGCTGTTATACAGTGACACCTCATTTCATGAACTTAATTTATTCTATGATTTTGGAAAAGATGGACACATTTGTGTCTGTGTGGGAAAGATGGCTTTGTTCGTGTTTGTCACCTGATGCAGATTTTGCAAACAAAAACAAAAATTTGCCAAATGTTTCCTTTTGAAAACCAAATTGTTTGCAAACAAAAATGTTGGTGAAACAAGGTACCATTGTACATACTGTAGCAGTAGTTCCCCACCTTGTTAGCACCTGGGACTAGACAATATTTCCATAGACCAGGGATGGAAGTGGATTTTGGATGATTCAAAGCTGTGCATTCGAGATCTCTGGAATGTTCAGCAGTTTACAGCAGAGTTCCTGCTCCTCTGAGATTCAAATGTCACTGATTACCTGACAGGAAGTGGAGCTCAGGGAGTAATGGGAATGATGGGGTGATGGGAAGGGGTTGTAAATACAAAGGAAACTTCATAGGTTTCCCATCACCTCCTGCTATGCAGTCCAGTTAGGGATCCTAGTACTATAATGCCAGAATTCCATTCATTCATTCATTCATTCATTCATTCAAAAAAGTATTTGAGGCCTGGGATTTAGCTCAGTGGTTTCTCCACCTGCCTCACAAGCGCAAGGACACGAGTTTGATCCCCAGTATATAAAAAAAAAAGTATTTGAGAGTTCTGTAGCTAAAAACAATTACAATAATAAAAAACAAGGTTCTGCCCCTTATGGAAACAAAATTCCTGCCTTGTGGAACTTTCATTCCAAAGAGAAGACAAGGGACAGCAGATAAATGAGTGCATTTGTGAGCAGCCTCTTGAGGGCACTAAGTGGTGTGGAGGGACTTACCGCACAGTGAGGGGGAGGTAAATGCTGACTGAGGCAGAGGAAGACTCACGTACACAGGCACATTAATCACAGGATCAGAGGAAGTGAGAGGATGGGCCATATAGACATCTAGGGAAAGAGAGATTTAATGGAGAGACCTGCAGGTGTAAATGTCCTTACGTGGTGTGGTGTCAGACAGGAAAATCAAAATCAAAGTGCAGAAGCATTGGAGGTCATTGTTAAACCAGGTCTCAGCACACCCACAACAGACACTATGTGTGTGTGTGTGTGTGTGTGTGTGTGACACACATGTGGG